TGCTCCAGTGGGCTGTCTACGCTCATTTTCCTTACTTGAAGCTGAGTCACTACTCGACACCCATTATTCTGGCTATAAATGAGGTTATTGTAGAATAGGTAAGTTAATTAGATGTCTTGCAGGCAGCCAGACAGGGCTGGCCCTGGAGAAGCTAACATGGAGGACACAGTCAGTGAAGGCCAGCATTGTAAAAGAAGAGAAACTACCACACCCACAGCTATTAGAACGAATAACAGTGATTGGTATAAATAGGTATCTGTGGCTTGGGTGAGGGACGAAGATCTTCCAGGAAAGATCCTTGACGCACCCTTTACCAAAAACCCTTGTAGTTCCTTGTATGCTGCTCTCTGACCTGCTTCCCCATGATCCTCATTTAATCAACATTACCTAAGTAACTACACTTGTCGTAATCTTATTGGTTGATCATAGTTATGCCCACCTTGTGATTTCTCACTGCATCAGTACTACCTAAGCAACTGTACTTGCAATCCTACTAGTTGTAGTTTTGTCCCACCTTGAACCTGCCTTCACCTTGTGGCTTTGTCCCATAAAACACCTTTGAGAAGCAGAGTTTGGGGGAGACGCATTTTCCGGCCCCCCTCATGTCGCTCTTAGACAGAAGCTTCCTTTCTCCCTACACTCAGAGTCCAGGGAACCTGAATGGGGACCTGTAGTCCCACCTCTCCCTGCCCCTAAGCTGTGCCACATTCCTCAGTGCCTGTGGAGATGGGCTGGTCAGTATAAGGCCACCCAGCAAACAGCTCTGTGGACTGAAGTCTTTGCCATCTCTCCCGCAGTGGCTCCTAAGCAGTCTTGGGTCTGACCAGGCCGTGGGATCATGCAGCCCTCCCTCCCCACAAACACCAGTTTCTGACTCCGCACGTCTGCTCCCCTCCCTCTCTCCTGGGAGCAGCCTTCCCACCCATCCTCAGTGTCACCCAGGGGTGCAAAGGAACTTCACGACAGCGAAGTCCGTAAAACTCTCAAACACTGTTTGCTCAGATAGGCGGCCCAGCTGGATGGAGTGGGCTTAGGGTTTCTAGTTTCCACCCCATCAGGTCTCTGGAAGTAGGATGGTTCTTTCTCCACTGGGAAACACACGTTTATCCCACAAGAGGCTGAGACTTGATTTGAAAGGCTGTGTTTTGTAGTCTCAGAAGAGCTGAAACACAGCAAAGCATGTTGTAGACAGGGTTAGCCCAAGGCTGCCCAAGGCCCTGCTGGGGATTTTCCTATTTGCTGTTCACACTGTGGCTACATGGCTGAACCTGTGGTAGACCCCAGCCTATGTGCAATGACAGGGTCTAATTTTTTTGGAAAATCTCAATGTATTACTAATGATGATAATAACTGAAAGCAAATTTCCCAATCTCTGTGTCCTTCTCTCCGTCACACACACGCACACACACACACACACACACACACACACACACACACACACACACACACACACACACACACACACACACACACACACACTTAACCCCTCACTACTAATCACTTTTGGAATACATAGATTTGGGGCCAGGATTTAGCTCAGTGATGCTGCCACCTGCCTCATAAGCGCAAGGTCCTGAGTTCAATCCCGGGTATAAAATAAATAAATAAGTAAGTAAATAAAAATAAATACATATATTTGTTAATTACATAATATGCCTTTATAATTTTAGTATTAAACTGGAGTTTTGCAAGAGGAAAGACAATACTATTTTTCCCAAGATGACATTCTTGGATGAATCACTCTCAAAATATTATCTGATAGGAAAAAAATTACAGGAATGATTATACTTCTCATGTTTTTAATGTTTTTCTTTCTCAGCTTTAACTATGCAAGTCCTCAAAATCTTATGAAGTAGATTAGTTTCCTTCCTAATCTGAATAAACTACGCTCAAAAATGATACCGATGCTTACTAAAATTCAAGAAAACATACTTTAAGGATGATTTTAATTTAAAATAAAATGAGTGTCTGGATTTCTCTAGGTCTTCTTGATAGAAATGTGGCACTGTAGAAAATTATGTTTGGATGATTAATTTTGGTATCTCAGGAAATCGGATAGTTATGTACAATTATGAAGCGTGTAAATTGGGTATTAATTATGTTACAGAACAAAGCTAGAAGGGATTCCCTTTGCTGGTTTTCCCCTTGACATGCATGGGTGTGGTTTGTTTTCTTTTCTGATCAGAACAAAGATAAGCTTCCTTTAGAACTGAAATACCTTGTTCTTACAAAGAAGGTTAAGGGGGGGGCATCAGATATAGACTGCCTTAATTGTCTGTTTATATTACTGCATATATTGGATTTATCCAGGTTAACAAAAATAAAGTTACAGATAGGTCTATGCAGTTATATTTTAAGTTACTGGCTTATACACATTTTAATGGCTGCCAGTCAATTAAAGATATGAAGGTAGAAGAAAAAACACTGAGCCATTATGAAATATAACCAGATTCCTGATTTTTTTATTAAAGGACACTATAGCCTCATAATACACCACATACAGTTCAAAACCAAACAAAGGTTGCTTGCCAGTAGTTATTTATTTTGTATTTGCCCACTTTAGGAAGAGAGAGAGAAAAAAAGCTCTACTGACACTCAAGTTTATTTTCGATTAAAACTCCCACAAATTGGAAAATGCCTCACATAACGGTGATAAAAAAAAAAGTGTTATTTAGAAAAAACTTCTGCAAGTGTGCTATTTCCTACAGTACCTCAGACCATGTGACCAGTCTCAGAAGCACACTTGATGAAATAACCCGACCCCTGGGTCCATGTTTAGGAAAGTACGTAGCAGTGTCTTGTCCTCTGATGCAAACAGGAGGAAAAATCTGTACTTGCTTAGTTTTGAGCATGGAAAACACTTATGCCTTGATCCCATGTCCTACACAAATAAAAAGATGCAGCAGAGGACCCGGGGCCCTGCTGCCATTGTGTCTTTCTAATTAAAATTCAGAGTATTAAGCACAGCTGATGGGCCGCCATCACACGCCGGAAACTCAGGCCAAGAGCATGGGGCTGGCTCATTAAGATTCATTGTGTCCTGCGCCTATGAAGGCTTTGTCAAGCAGACAGTGAAGTCCTGTCAGGAGTGTGCAAACAGAAATGTATGTTCAGTTGTCCTTTGGTATGGGAATTTAGCTGCATTCTCAGCCTGTGAGATATTGAGTCAGAAGGTTTCTGAGGTCCTAACAGTATAACGTGTTACAAAGAGGGTATTAAAAAAGGCTAGGTGGGAAATGTTTGAGTAACTGGGTGGGGGTATTCCTGGGAGTAGAAATCCAGCTCGAGGGCTATCAAGACAAGAGAAGGTGTAGCTTAAGAGAAGCCAGGAAGGACCGGGAGTCAAAATTAATATGTGTTAAGTCAGCTAAGAGCACAGCTTGCTTTGGCTTACAAACCTTTGCTACCCTTTAGATGATAATCTCAGAAAAGAAAGCCCGTTGGAAACAGTTCTTTTTCATCCTGCTGAGTGAAGACGCCCGAGGAGACAGATTTTATGTGCTGGCTTCCCGAGTGTGGCAGTAGCTGCAATGTTATTAGAGAAACTGACAGTGAGAATTTGCTTCTTTAGACTCAGTACTTTTCTTTACCATGTTCACTGACCGTGCATATGTGCTGAAACAATAAAAGGTTTAAATGCATAGGTTTCTTAACAAAATATGAAGCACAGAGAGTGTGAGGTAGTGACACCAGAATGCCACTCTGTAATTGGTTGTTGTTCATTTAAACATATATATGTACATTTACGTGGGTATAAAATCTAAGCACACCCATTCAAATGCTGGACACGGCTCTACTTTTTTTTTTAGTATCAGGAATCGAACTCAAGGCCCTGCGTTGGCCTGGCAGGTGCTGCGCTGCTGGGCTACATCCCTGGCCCTTTTTCTTTTTCTTTTTGAGCCAAGGTCTCATTGTGTCGTTCAGGCTGGCCTCGGCCTCGTGGGATCTCCCACATCTGTCTCCCGAGTGCTGGGATTACAGGTATGCAGACCATGCCCTGCTAAAGGCTCTTTGTAGGCAAAAAGGGAGGATTATTGCAGGATATTGGGGTGGCTCACAGAACCCAAGGATGAGATGAATAATGAAGTGACTGGAAGGTGGGAGCAGGGCAGCCTCAACCCAGGGTGCTGGGGAGCTTTGTGGGCCCCAGCTGTTAGGCAGTGTCCATCCCTACACCCTTGGTCTCTGTGACTTTTCGTTTAAGTTTCTAATTTTTGGCCAGGAGTCATCCCAATATTTGGGAGGCTGAGGAAACAGGATCAGGAGTTCAAGGCCAGGCTGGGCTACATGGCGAGGTCAGCCTGAACTACACAGTGAGACCCTGCCTAAAAGTTTCTGATTTTTAAAAGTAAGACATTGATTGGTCCATCTTGCTTCAGATGTCTACCTGTATGTAGATCAGTGTAGGTCCAGGTGACAAAGCCGTGTAGGTGTGTGTGTGTGTGTGTGTGTGTGTGTGTGTGTGTCCATGTCTGTGGGCTGACCGAGGAGGGATAGCTATGAGCTTCAGGCCACTGTAACTGGAACCTGTTAGTCTGCAAGCACTGATGTGAGCCCATTTCTGGGGCGTTGTCTATTTATTATGATTGGTGGGGAGAAAAATCAGCATGGAGGTTTCATTTGCTGCATCATCCTAGTAGCTACTTTGCAGAATGGTGGTGGGCGCTCACTGGGAGAATGGATGCAAAGTGCCCAGCATATACATGACGCAGGAGACATCCATAAAAGCAGTCACCGTCAATAAAATTTCAATAATTGTTAAACGGAAGTCACTGTTGAGTTCTTATGAAAATGGGATTTGGGTTTTGCTTGCGAGTCTTACATTCAGACCTCTGAAGTATTCGTTATAATCTAAGGCAGATCCCACCACAAATAAGTTTGGAATCTCAAATCAGGCATCTTAACAGAGAGAGAGAGAGAGAGGGAGAGAGAGAGGGAGAGAGAATACAGTACACTGAGACTAACGCCACCGTATGCTTTTCTTGCTATTCAAACTGTGAGGACTTTTCGTTTAGGCAGAAGGAAGTGAGAAACTTAGTACGACAGGCCCAGGAGGGGCTAGGCCAGAAAGAGTACTGGGGCAGGCAAGGAGGACAAGCCGGCAAACGTTGGGATGACAGGACTCCTCGCGGAGTTGAGAAAGAGCTCCGGAGGCCCAGTGGGTAACAAGGAGCGTGCATGAGCTCGTCATGTGGCCTTGGTCTGAGGAGAACAGCGCGGAAGGACACAGTGCCGAAGGGAAGGCCCCGAAGAGCACAAAGGCGGTTCCAACGGAAGGCAGCTCAGGGCTGCGCTGTACGAGCAGGTGGGTGTGCGGCCCGCCACAACCAGGAAGCGATTCCTCTCTGCACCGTGTTGCCAGCGGCTTGAAAGGGCTGCAGAGCGAAATCTGGGAGACGAAGTGGAAGGAAATGGCATTGTTCACCTCCAGGAAGAGAACAGGAAGTGTTATTTTCATGCTGGTCTTGGGGTCCGCTGTGCAGAGGAGGTTAACTAGCTCTTTACTGGGAACAGAACGAGAGGAAGTGGGTGTCAATGCCGCACGAGGTACTAAGCAAGAGCAGACTTTCTAGAAGGAAGATGGCTTTTTATAGGAGAGGATCCTAAGAATTTGAGGGCAGCCCTCCCGCAGGGGACTTGCGACAATTTTGAAACGGTTTTCTGTGTTTCGAGTTTTATGTCTGTCTGCCTCAGGCCCACAGAGGAGATGTGCGGGCTTAACTTCATCCTGTACCTTGGTGTAGACAACGGGCTTTGAGCATGGGCAGTTACGCCCACCTTGACGGCGTCCCCCCATTTCCACCCGTGACCAAACTTCTCTGGCGGGGAGAAACCAATAAACTCTACCTAGAGAGCAGGCTCGAGCTGAGGAGCAGTTTTCCAGGGGGTTGGATTACTGAGGCTTACTGGTCATAAAGCCTGTCTGATTGCTGCGAACCGCAGAGCTTCTTGAGAAAAATAATCAAAGAGGAAAAGCCAGAGCAGAAGAAAACACCTCCGAGGTTATGTTTAGCATATAAGAAAGAGTCAATGATGACAAAGAAACAAAAAGTGCAAAGCCTCTGATATCCAGAGAGAGAAAGAGATTCCGGGCCAGCTAAAAAGACTACAAGCAAATCCCAGGAAACCTTGGTTGTAGCAATAACAATGACTCTTCAGTGAGCAAGGCAGTCCCTACAATAGGTGTGGCAGCTCAGACTGGGAAAATCAGAGCCCAGAGACGGTGTAGGAGGCCCAGGGTGAAGCCATGGGGCAGCAGAAGGACAGGGGACCGGTGGGACAGCGGGAATGTGACCCGCCCATCGCGCAGCGGTGAAGGTGCGCACCTCCCACACTCAGTTTGCAAGTGATGCTACCAGACAGACCGCCCAGGTGTGACCCTGGCCCTGCACCCCCGCCCTGCGTGACCCTGGCTGAGCTGACTCACCTGGCTCTTTTCCATTTCCTCATCTGACACGGTGTAAGGATCGCAGCTACATTTAGAGAACCGAACCGTTGCGAGGATGAGAGGAGGAAATCTTGGTAGCTCCCAGAGCAGGGCCTGGCGTATCATGCGCGTTAGGTGTTTTGCTCTTTATTTTATTTTATTTGTTGTGGTGCTGGGGATCAAATCCATTGCCTCTCTCAGGCTAGGCAAGGGCTCTGACGCTGAGCTACAGCCGTAGCCCCAGCTACTGTTACTTGCTTTTGTTGTAAGCAACACAAGAGTCTTACAATTAATTGGATATGTTCAGAGTGAATGTTTCTCAATTTCAGTTGAAGTCTTATCTATATAGTGAGCTTCTTAACACTATTTCCTTACAACGTCGCTGTTTAGTAACCTCACATGACCTTGACAGCCAGGGTAGAGTTTCCGAAGCCGGTGACGGGCAGGAACACACTGTCGCTCTGCCTGCCCACAGCGGCCGCCCTCGTGAGCCTGTACACCCAGCAGAACAGTGAGACTTGCTTTTAGAATGAAGAGTCGCATGACCCACCCCCACCGCGACGGTCTCTCCTGTTTGTTCAGCTTGCTGATGAGAATGGTAGCCAAATTATCTCAGGGGCTTAGAGCAAAGGTAAGTCGTAAAAGCCTAGTCAGAGTCTGCCTTATGCAATTAAAAAAAAAATCACGTCTAGTGTTAGAAAAATAAATAATCTGGCCTTCTGTTTATCTCTTCCGGCATGAGAGGCAGGGGAAAGTACTCTAGGTAAGGAGCACCTGCTAGGACACACGTCTGAAGGCAGGTGTGAGGAAGGTATCAGAGAGAGCTGTGCTGCTCATCCCCTGTGTTTCTGGGCTTTAGATCGGAGGCGGCCGGGCGATGCCTCAGGCCTTCTCTTCTGTGCTTTAAGACTCAGGCTGGCTAAAGTCTGCACTGCATTGCATGGCAGCAGCTCCCGGAGGTGGGGTTGGGGGCGGGGTCTGAGCACCTTGACAGCACCTCTGCTATTGGTGGGAGAAGGGTTCAGCAGGGATCCCATGGGTAAGAATCAGGCCAGTGGGGTCAGGCTTCTACCCTGAAACTGGTCAGCTTGGGCTCCTTAGCGTTAAGATCTGCATGAAACTAAACAATAAAAGCAGGGAACGCACAGAGCAAGTCTGATAGATGCAAGCTCCGAGGTTTAAGACCCTTGGCTTTTGTGGAGATGAAAGTTCGCAGGCCTCTCTGCCCTGCATAGCTTCCAACACCCACGGATTGCCGGCAAACGGGAAACCAATAATTTAAGCACAGAACAAAACACCGGAACAAAACCCAAAAACAAAAACCACTTGCAGTCAGGTCTAAAGCCATCACTTCTGGGTGTTGCCTTTACTAACAAACTGCCAATTAAAAAAAGGGGGGGCGATTGCTTTAGTCATTCCCATCGATTTAATTGCAAATAGAATTAAACATAGCTGAGGGATGGATTTCCCCTGGAGCCAGTGTGGCACTGCCACTCCCTGTTTTAAATCCTACCCTTGCTGCTGCGTGACTGCGGCCGTGGGCGGTGTTCTGGGTGAGAGGAGGGAGCTCACGGGCTCCTCCAGCCACTCCTTCAAGCAGCTCTGAGGAAAGGCCAGGAGGGGCTGGGATACAGGCCAGGCACTCTGTTCCCTGGCCCTTCCGAGCCTAGCAGTCAAATGGGCTATTTTTCAATGTGGTTAAACCATATCCCCCTCAGGGAAGGGCTGGGGCTGAGACAGAGGGTGCAGTGTGGAAGGAACCTCTTGTGTCAGGGTCCCCCTGGACTGGTCAAGAAGAGCAGAACTCAGCGTGCTGTGTCTGAATGTGGGCCCCACTTACCTGGTGACCGTAAGCATGTTGGGCATGTATTTTTCCAAATCCTTTGCGAAAGCAAGACAAGTTCAGCAAAATGCATTCGTTCAGCATAGTAGCTCTTTCATCCAGAGATATTCCTTATTAATAATGGAGCCTAGTTACCCAGTGGCATCAGATTGGGGTCAGTTCTGTTTTCTTAAGTCCTTCCCTGGGGGAGCCTGGAGCACTGGTGATTATTTCTCTCTCGCCTGCCTGCCCGGGTGTGTGGAAGGGTTGATTCAGCCTGTGCACTTGCGGACCTGGTCCCTGAGTACCCTGGGACTCCTGCAGGCTCCTGCCAGGCACTGAATTTGGCCCCAGGTTATGTGACACAATGGGCCACATATGACACAATGAATTTTCATGGAGGGAGGTGAGGTGGGGGTGAATACAGTGGAAGGATAAGCATCTCCCCGGGGTTCCTCACTCCCCGGGGCTTCTCTGGCAGGGAAGCCAGGCGCGTCTGGGCTGCAGCTGGTGACAGCCCTGAGTGCTGAGGGTCTGAGGGGGCTGCCTGAACTCGGGCTCCCCTCACTGAGGAGCCGCTGCAGCACAATTAGAACAGAATGGGCCGCCTCAGGTTATTGTCTGTGGGACAGAAATCAGCTGTCAGGAGCTGATTATCAACACAACAGGTCTGCATTTAGCCTGCATAGGGCAATTCGTTTGGCCACAGGGTCTGCCTTGCCAGTTCTGCGGGGCCAGAACATCAGGCACACTCTGGCAGTCGTGGAACAAAAGCCCGAGAGAGGCCCTGAATCTGCGCCAGCTGAGGCGACAGACCAGCCCCCAACCAACATGGCCTTGTGCTGTGACAGTGGACACTCGGGACTACCGCTTGCTCTGTTGTCTTTGACTTTTTTTTAACAACAACAAAAAAAAGTCAGTTCCCTTAGATTGCTATTTTTTTTTAAAAAAAGATCGTATTTATGATTTTGAAGTTGAAAGTACTTGAGAATTAAAGTCGCGAGAGATCATTAGCAAGAATACTGAATTGAGGCCAAGACAGTTCTAACATCGGCTTTCACTGTTCAGTAAAACTGGCTCCAGGGGCTAGTTCACCCTTCTTCATAGCTGTCTGCACAGCTGATTGCAGTGAAGAACCTTAAGTATAAGAACTGACTAAGCCATTTGTGAAATTGGATACAAGACAGGGCAGCACACGGCCATTATTATAACACTTTGGTACTGAATTATTTGAGGCCAGAGATTATAGCTGGCTTCTAATCAATACATTTGGAGAGCCAGGCACGCATTGGGAACTCAATAAATCCTTGGCCAATTTGGTAACAAGTTCTACATTTTAAAACCTGCTGTTGGATTCCTTCAACTCCCACATGCGGAAAAGGAAAAGCCAGATTACCTCCACAGTGAGGACATTCTGAAATCAACAAAGCCCATGCTTTAGAACATGACGCAAATCTGGATCACAAGATGACACACAGGTTGCTTACAGGTAGATTTTCCATTTTCTCCCAGTACCTCCAAGGAGACTGTGGTCTGTAGATGGATCATGTGTGTTGCTACGAGTATTCTCTGTTCCCTTGTAGCCTCCCAGATTGCTGGGGATTCAGCATTTACTCCTGGATTTTCAACCTGAGGAAAGGGGGCCTAGAAAAGAGCTATGCAGGACCCAGGGTCTATGGAGATGGCTGGGTGCTGAGCACGCCCCAAAGCCATCCCCCTGCTTCTCCCCTTAGACCACTGCATGTTTCTTGTTTGAGATCTGTCTTCTCCGCTAGGTTAAACTGAAGGAGAAGGGCTTAGGTTTGTCTTACTTACTATTGCATTCCCGGAGTGCTTGCATATAGAAACTCAATCATTATTTGTTGAATGAAGGACTAACTGCTTAAGCTTATTAATTAGTTAAAGTCAACCCTTTGATTGGGTTATTACTAACATGTCAATGGAGTCCCGCCAAGTTAAAAAAAGTGTTAATATGCTTTCCGATGAACTAAAACTGAGAGCATTCCCTCAGAGTAATGGAATTTTTCTCTCTTTAGGTGATCTTTCATTCATCTGTCACTTTTAGAATACTTTAAAAATTGGACGAAATCTTGCACAGTAGGCACCTTATGTCTAATGCAAAAGAGATGTAATTAATAAAGATACTAACCAGCTACCCATCCATGCAAGCAGCAACACTGCGAAGTCTGTACCACCTGTCCAGCCTCTGCTGCCATGGAAGACCCTCCCTTGAAGTACATTTCTCTCAGACATGATTTTTTTTTTTTTTTTTTTTTTTTTTTTTGTACCGGGGATTGAACTCGGGTCCTTGGGCTTGCGAGGCGGGGCACCTCACCACTGAGCTAAATCCCTGGCCCCAGTTGTGATGTTTTTATTCACTAGACCCATTGAACATTTTATCAGGAAGATGTGAGTTTCTGTTGTTCACTTCTGAAGAGGTCAGTCATGGAATCCTCCGAGAGTCTCGCTGTCACTGCAGTGCTTTTGGCGTTGGGGAGTCATAGCAGAGATGGCCTTGAGCGCCGGTCCACAGCAGCTGCTCCGGCTGTGGTGCTTCTCGGTTTCTCCAAGGCTCACAGGCCGCTGAGCCAGCCAGAGGGCTTGCAGCATGCTGTGCTTAATGGAATGTCATCGTTCACACTTCCTTCTCCTTTCAATTTTAGGAAGAAAAACTTTGCTGAAGTATGTTAGTCTGCGTTCTTGACTAACTGGAGCAAACTGAAAATGATTAGATCTGGCTTTTTGCTTTGTCAGTCTAGAACTTCACAAAACAGAGTCCTCTTTGGAGAGGTCAGCTATGGCTCCGAAGAAATCACAGTGGGTGGTATGTGGGCTTGGGATGTGTTTGCATCCTGAGGCAAAATGGCACAATTGCTCAAGGTGTCTGAGGACTGAGGGGTTGTATGAGAAGCCTCTTCCCACTTCATCTCCGCTCATCCCGGCTTTGGTCCTCAGAGACAGGCCCTTGTAACGTCTAGCTGTTCTTCATGTTGTTATTCTGTATTTCTAAAACCAAACACGTAGCAACACGTTTTGTATAGGTACTTGTTTTTAAACATATTTCAGTCATTTATTGCTTTTTTTTTAGGTTGCTTGTTTTTGGAAAAAGGATTTCATGTATAAATGTTTACTTTTATTATTTTTATTTATTTTCCTTTTCCTTTTTGGTATCAGGAATCGAACTCAGGACCTTGCGCTTGTGAGGCAGGTACAGCACCAGTAAGCTAAATCCTCTGCCCCTTTTATTTTTAATTTTTTAAGATTTTAATAAATTTTGCTTTATTTTATCCCATGCTCCCTAATTACTTTTATTTTAGAAAAAATATATATTTCATTATATATGTATACTTATTAAAGACAATTTGTTTAAGACAACTTGTCTTATTAAAGACAATTCTCTGTGTACAATATATAAACACAAAACATGAAAGCATGCTTGGAACAGAAAATCTGAGGCTTCTCTGACATTTTTAGGCGGGTGGGGATTGTGCCAGGTCTTCCTGCATGCTGGGCAGGTGCTCCACTGCTGAGCCACTTCCCCTAGCCCTAAGATTTTCTACATTTTTGATGTATTTAACTATTTAAAGATTTTTTAAAAAAACTTTGTGTACTTTAAAATACAGATCTCACATTATGCATAGCCAAAGCATTACCACATCTAGCACAAGTGATTTTTTTTTGTTGTTTTGTTGTGTTTCAGTTTTTTTGAGACAGGGTCTCACTATGTACTTGAGACTGACCTGGAACTCACTGTGTAGCCCAGGCTGGTCTTGAATTTACAGTGATCCTCCTGCCTCAGCCTCCGGAGTGCTGGGATTATAGGCATGTGCCGCCACACCCTGCAAATGATGACTTCTTGATACCATATCAGGTCTTCTCTCTGTGTACCTATCAGATTTCCCCAGTTGCCCTTAGGCGGGCTCATTTATTTGCAGTCTGTCAGACCCTCACCGCCCCCTGGCTCTCACCTTGCTCCCAGCCAGAGGCTCAGTCCCCAGAGCAGCAGTGTCGGCAGGTGGGGCCAAGAGATAAGAGCCACCCTTGGGGGTGGATTATTGTCACAGGGATGAGAGTGGGGTGATGGAAAAGCGAACTGGACCCCCTTTTTTTTTTCTCATTCTTGCTACCTTGCACACAAGACGAGGCAGCACCAAGACCCGAGAGGACAGGAGAGGACATAACTGTCCCAACTGCGGCAGCATTCGCACCGGTGTCCTCGTGCTAACACGTGTGAGGACTGGATAATGAGCCTCGGAGACCGGATACAGTAGGTGTAGAAGCTCATGTGCAGCCTATCAACGTCGGCTTCATCTCTTTCACTCCTCTGGTTCATTACACTTTTGATACATCGCCTCCATCTTTCCTTAATGATCTGCAGTTCTGCCTTTACCAAGCTATAATTAGTGTCTACTTGCTTTTCAATTTTGCACTCAGCAATCCTCTGAAATCACCCCCGCTTTTTTTAGCGGGCAACCTTGGAGTTTTGTTCGGCACACACTGTGCTGAGGAAACACTTCCCATCTGATAACACCGATCGCTGAGTCCGAGATGTTTGCCAGTTACTGTGTCAGTCATCTCTCGCACCTAGCTCATTTCCTCCCAGAAAGCCAGTAAAGTCTGCAGCCTGGGGCTGCAGCACATTCTACGGGGAACTTCTAGAGGGTGCCCTTTCTGTCCTCTCCCACGACTCTGATCAAAGCTAATCACGCTGAGCTTCCTAGTGAAAAAGAAAGCAAGAAAGACAAAAGGATTATACAAGTCTCAGTGATTTTCTTAAGTAGACAATTCCCACTTTTAAAACACAAAATGAGGGTCCTGCGGTACTGTCCAGCCCGCAGCGACCTGGCTCTGTGGCCGTGGTCCCTCTGGGCGGGAGGACCCTCGAGATGACGCGCAGGACGGTGACCAGCAGGAGTGTGAGTGTAAACCCCACGGACACAGGGACGAAAGGCAGCTTTACACCCTACGTGATAATTCCCAGAATGGCCGGAGTCACCAGGCAGTGGGCATTTCCATTATTGTTGCATAAAAGAGGAATGATTTCAGCAGCTGAGGCCGCCAAGGGAAAGCTTTTGGCAGGTTCTGCCTTCTCTGGCCCTGGACTAGGCCCTTCTTTGGTGGGGTTGCGGGGGGCTGTCTCCCCCATCCTGCCTCTCCCGCACATCTGCGTCTCCTCTAGATCCAGCCGTTTGTGTGCATTTGGTTTCATTCCACCCTTTCAGAGACTTCCATGGAACAGGAATGAAATCTTCCTGTCCTAATGGATGCACACATTTTATGAAGGGCCAGGATTAAATCAACTTTGAAAAAAAAATCACCCGGAGAGCACGCCGCGCAGACAGCCTAAACACACAGGGTAGAAAAGCTGTGAACACTTGGAGCTGAAGCGCCTGGTTAACTTAGCTGTGAAGGGCTCCCCGTATTTAACAGCAGCGACCTATGTAGAACCATGACTCAGCCTGCTGCCTCTGAAACAAAAGAAAGAAAGGTGGAAGAAAGAGCAGAAAAGAAATGAGAAACGTGCTCGCAAGCTTCCCTTTTCCTTCTGGAGGGTGTTTTTGAGACAGGGTCCCCTCATGCAGTCCCACGATGCAGCCCAGGCCAGCCTCCTTACCTCAGCCTCCTGAGGGCTGCGCTTACAGGTGCACGTCACCATCCACGGCCAACTTGGCATTCCCCACCCGCCTAACTCTTTCTTGTTTCTTTTCTTTCTTTTTTTTTTTTTTTTTGTTGTTGTTGTTACTCCTGAATGAACTCTGGGCCTCTGAAGTGAGCTACATTCCCCGCCTTTTTAAAAATTTTAAATTTTGAGACAGGGTCTCACTGAGTCACTCAGTTGCTTAGGTTGCATTTGAACATTAATCCTCCTGCCTCAGCCTCCCAGAGGAATGCAATTATAGGCGTACTCCGCTGTGCCTGGCTCCTTTGGATTTCTTTAAACCGGAGAAACGAGGCTTGTCCGAGGAAGACCTTTGGCAGGCTTCTTTGGCTACTGACCTTTACGTGAGAGCAATCCCAGGCAGCCGTGACGTAAACATTGCAACTGAAAAGGAAGTGTGTTGACTGACCCATGAATTGTGTGATGACTATCAGAGAGGGGAGAAGTGAGAAGATGCCCCGAAGCAATCCCTCCGCTGTCACACAGTCACACACGATTCTGGAGGGCCTTTTCCTCTTACATTTTCCCAGCTGGCTTATGTTCTGCACGATGGCGATTCTGAAGGCCCCTGAGATTGCTTTTTAAAGCTCTCTCCAACTCTTTCCTAGGAGGCTGAAGCATGGGCGAGCGGGCAGGCCGCATGGACGCCTTCATCTGCTAAGGAAGAGAGAGTCCCAAACTTTAGCGAACCTTCCCAAGCTTCCGCCCCAGAGGTGCAGCATTCAGTGTCCTTAAAATGCAAACTGGGCCAACAGAACACTTGTCACTTGGCTTAAATTTGCCTTTTGCTTCTGCCATGTCCTCTCTTTCCAAAATTAACTGAAAACTTCATTCTGATTTCTCTGTGCTAGGACCTGCACTCGCTGGTCACCCAATATTTATTCAGTCTGTTAGGGTTCAGCCCTTTGCACAGAGCGAGAGAGAGAGGATGGGGGGAGGCGGGCATGGTTCCTGCCCGGTTCACGCTGACTTTCTGGTGGGTGACAGGTTTGTTTTTTTTAAAGCCCCAAAATAAACACTGCACGTGGTGGAACAGACTCTAATGGAAACAGGGCACACATCTGACAGGCTGAGGGGAAGCAGAGGGGGGACTGCGCACTCACTGTAGACACTGCACCCTGAAGGCACTGGCCAAGCCCTTCCCGTGAAGTCCTTGCTCAAGCTGTGGCTCCCGCTGGAACCCATTTGCCTCCTAGGCTTCAAGTCTCCACACCGCTATAAAAAGTCCACTGAGCAGTTCTCAGCTGGCCGAGTGTTGTGGTCCGGCTCGTATTTTCGAAAGATCCCTTCGGCTGCTCTGTGGTAAATGGCTCGGAGGACTGTGAAGGTTCAGTGAAGATAAAAGTTCAGGGACTAGTTAGCTTAGCAGAGCAGGTCGGAGAGGGTCCTCACCCTAGGGACCAGGCCTCTCTGACGTGTGCAGGAGTCATCCAGGAATCCGCTTCAAATGAGGACTTTATTTCAGTGGATCTGGCGCAGGGGGAGTCGGGCTCTGGAACTCTGCATTTCTAACCCTCGCAGGTGACAGCGACCTTGCTGGTTCCTGGACCTAAGGTTGGCAAGCTGTGGCCCATGGGCCAGATGTGGTCTGCTCTTTGTGTCTTTGTGTCTTTAAATAAAGCTTTATTGGAACACAGCTATTTCTATCTGTTTCCACATTATCTGTGGCTGCTTCGTGCTATCACCTCAGAGTTGAGTAACTGTGAGAGATTGTTGGCCCACAGAGTCCTGAGTATTTACTATCTGGTCCTTCACAGGAAAAACATGCTGGTTCCTCCGAGCTAGACAATGATTTGAGCAGCAAGGGTCAAAAACTTAAGTGATAGCCACGGAGAGAAGTAGACAGATTGCAGATGTATTTGGAAACGCGGTGCAGCTGCCCTGGCTGATCCGGGCGGCCCCTCAGTGGGGTGAAGCATCCTGGGCCGCAGGGTCTGTGACTCAGTTGGGGTGAGAACCTGGCTAGGTGGTGTCGATTCGCCTGAGAAATACTTCTCCGCTGTGTCTAAGCCCAAGGGTTCTACTTGTCACGTGTTTGGACACATGTAGAAATGCATCTATGCGCACAGTGTAAAGACCCAGGGACGTAGCACCTGGGACCCTGGAAGAGATCAGTTTTCCCTGCGGCCACAAAGCTAGGGCACAGGCCTCGTTCGCACCACTGGCTGGCTGACCATCTCGTCTCCCTGAATTCCTACGACCTCTGTGTTCTCATGGGGTGGGTGGGGGGTCTTCGTGGTGGGCGGAGAAACCGAAGCAGAGAGCTGTCCCCACCTTCTGCTCACCCCGGTCCCAGGAAGGAGCTGCCTGACCACTACGCCTCCCTAGCTGGGTCAGTCAGCCGTGCACGACGTGAGGGAGAAGAGGTTTATTTCACTCATGGCTCCAGAGATCTCAGTCTATGGTTGGCCGGCTCCCGGGCAGAACCAGCCAGGAAGCAGAGAGGGATGGAAAGATCTGGAGGGGTGAAGGGGCTGAGGCCTAGGTACGTGCGTCCAAGACGGACTCTCTTCCTCTACCAGCCACTCAGCCACGGCTCCTGGATGCATCAGTTCGTGATGAGCCTGGTGTCCTCACGACCCAGGGCCTCCTCCTGAACGCTGCCCTCAACGCCTGAGTCTTCGGGGGACACTTCACCTTCGAATTGTAACACTGGCTCTTAAAGAGAGGGAAAGTCCGGTGTTCATCACGAGGGACTTCAAGCACTGTTGCTAACGAGGAGAAGGGAAGCACAAGGCTACCTACACATTCGTTTTCCTTGTCATTCATCTGGGAACGTTAGCCGCGTCACTAGGCCAGATGTCATCAAACGGACGAGGCAGGATATTTCCCTCTTGCCACAAACCTGTAAGGCAACGTCACGCGGAAAAGCGCTGGAATGACATCTTCGAAAGAGTACTGCAGTGCCATCTGTTTGCGTATGTTTGTGAATCTCTGGAGATCGCACTATTTTAGCTTCTTGGGTGCTGCTGAATGCACGGATAACCTGGTGTGCGTTAACAGGAGCAAGTTAATTTCGATCCCCAGGAACAGAATTTACTAGAGGGCAATTTAGGGCTTGCAACCTACAGTGAGCTCTTCAGAGTGAGGGAAAGCAGGCTGTTTGGTAGTCAGAATCCTTGCGGCTCTGTACCATCCCCAATGATTCGATCCGTGCCTTTATTAAACGGGGCTGCTGTTCTTACACCTCATCGGAGAACTGCATGACGATACTCCAGTGTGACAGGTTAGGCCTGTGTGATAGACGGCTCCATTTTACTTCGCAAGCTGAGTGAGTCTACGCAGGGATAACGAGTACAAACTAGGTGGGCACAGGTGAACGAAAACGAATTCTGCATTGCTCTGCCGCTTTCATTCCAGCAAATTTACATTTCAAATTACGTTCCACGGAGCTCATTTGCCTCACGAAACGCTTCCTCCCAATTTAAGTATCCATGTCAGAATCTGAACAGTCTTTCCAGTTTAGAATTAGGACTGGGCAGGTTTGGAACTACCAGTTAAAACTGGAGGTGTTTTCCCCATAATCTCATAGGTCGTATTCTTGCTCTCAAGAAGCCCCCCGTCAGTTTCATGCGTTTCAAACCCGTTTCAATGTCCCCCTACAGTGCCTAGGTGCACAGGCCCGCAGAGAGGCACGAAGCAGACGCAGGGAGGTCCTTTTCTGATGGTGCCTG